TGCAGGGATAGCATTGCTTCTAGGCACCCAAATGACAGTGCATGTGTGTATGCCGACCCATGTATATGCACAAATCTATAAATGTTTGTATATGTAATGACTTGTATCTATATAAGCCAGCTGTGAGTTCATAGTGATGTCGCCAACTCTAACCCGTTACCACATGGATCATTCTAGCCTCCTTCCCCTTGCTTATCTGTCACCTCCTACTCCAACAGTGAGAAACTCGGTTCTCACCACCTCCCACTCATTAAGTTAATTGTTCAACTACAGTGTACAAGTAGAGTGATTTGTTTCAGAGTTAATAACCTGTACACCACTGTAGGAAACTATGTGCCCTTCTGAAGGTGCCATAGCTGTCAAGTTCAGTTGAGCAAGGGTTGGGCAGACAGGTCCACTTCTGAGGACAAATTTGCGTGGGAAATCTTTCCCCTGGAGCCTTTTCAGTTACTTGTGATCAGTCAGGTGGGGTGCTGGGGGCTGGAGGGACGGCACCTGGGCTTGACAAAATGCAGAGCAACCTGTATGAACTGGGGTGCGCTGGGAGAGCTCGACCCATATTTAGAGGAGTGTTGGGCTGTGACGCTTCCTCCTATAAAGTCACATGTACAAGACTGTTCTTCATGTTCCAAAGAGCCGAGCATTCAGCCTTCCAGTGGGGCTGAAGGCAGTTCCGTCTGATACTCTGTGTGTGTGTATGTATATGTGTGTGAAGTAAGTTGTTTTTGGAAAGATACCAACTCAGTATGTCTTTGGTGGCTTGAACTGATTTCCTTTTGGGACATTCTTTTCATAACTTTGTCTACAGGGAAACAGCCCTTCCAAGAGCATACTTTAGTATTGTTTTGTTTCATGCAAACATCATTAAATCTAAAAATCTTTTTTATATGTTTAGGATTCGGAGACTCAGATGCGCTGAAAGGAACGTCCTCAGTGAAGCGTGAGTACTAAATCCACACAAACTCTATTCAAAGCAAACGATAGTGAATATGCACCACCCACTTAGAATATGGAAACAACGGGTGGCCTGCGTTTTACTTGATCAAAGGAAACATGATTATCTTAAGTTGCTTTATTTAAAAGACAATTGAAAAATCCTTTCTTTCCTTTGGAAAATACCAAATATTGTATGATAACTGATGGTTCATTCTCTGTGGTCCAAGTCACGGTCCCGACTGTGAGGAGCCTGTGGTGACCTCTGGCTACTGCCTTCCTTGGCTTTGAAGCAAATAAAGGAGTTATCACTCCGTTTAGATTCTTTCCTTTATAATAGCTTCTATTCAGATGGGGTCTGTGTGTTTTAAACCAGGTGGAGTCTAAGTTCAGCCCCCATCCCAAGTTGGAGGCAGACAAGTAAACATGACAACTCAGTTTCTTAAGAACTGAATGGAATGAAAGTTCAATTTACACATTGTCTCCATTTTATACCCTAGAAACAGGTGATAGGTATGTTAATGTGTTTAGGGAGACAACTTGAAAAGTGACCTTGGCCCGAGGACATGCTCAGTGAGTCAAACAGAAACAAAGTTGCTGGGAACTGACATTCTCCCCTCTGCCTAAGCCCCCATCAGCTGATGACAGGAAGCCGTGTGACTCATCTGGTGCGCAAGCGCACTGGATTAAAAAAGATTGCCCCCTTAAACTGTTGTTGTTGTTGTTGTTATGTGCCGTTGAGTCGGACCCGATTCATAGCGACCCCTCCTTGGGTTTCCGAGGCAGTATCAGTACGGAAGTAGATTGCCCAGTCTTCCTTTTGAGGAGTGGCTGGTGGGTTTGAACCACCAGCCTTCTGGTTAGCAGTCAAGTGCCTTAGCCACTATGCTACCAGAAACTGAGGCGAAGGAAATTTCAGCCAGTCATCAACTATCTCATGCCCAAATCCTGAAATTTTTATGAATATGCATAACCCTCTCTCTTAAAACTTACAAAAATTATAATTCGATTTAGATTTGGGGATCAGATTTGGGTATAGACCCCTGTCTCCTTGCATTGCCGCTTTGCAATAAATAATTTTCTCTCCTCTTAATAACTCAGTGTGTAAACTGTTTTGGCCTGACTGCACACTGAGCAGGGAACCTCATTTGGTTCTGTTTCATGTTGTCTCTCAAATATTAAGCTTTGTCATCTGTTTTCCTTTCCTTTGAAAAAAAAATAAACTGTTCTTTTCAGAAATACATGAATACTTAGAAAGTACAGCTGAGGTTCCTCTTGATCATCCTCCATCCTACTAACACCCAATCACAGCCCAAGAGAGAACTGCTTAGCCAGTTTGGGATATGCTAGTCCCAATTGGTTTCATATGGTATCATCTATCTATCTATCTATAGACCTAGATTGTATTGTGGTTTTTGCTTGATGTGACGTGTAGGACTGAATCATACAGTCATATGGATATTATTTCAGAACTTGCTTTTCAAATTCAATATATGTAGAAGACCTGAATCTGTCCGTCTATCTCTCATCGCTCTGTCGTCTCTATCATCTCTGTCTTTCGTCTCTGTCATCTGTCTCTGTCTGTGTCACTAATCTTTCTACCATCTGTTGCTATCAATCATGTATTTGTTTATAATCTGTCTCTGTCATCTGTCTGTCTTTATCTCTCTTAATCATCTGTCTGTCTATATCTAGCTAGCTCATCATCTGTCAGTCACCCTTTTATTTACATCTACCTAACCACCTACCCTACTCTTTTTAACTGCTTGAGTGCCAGCTGTGTACCAGTGTTTTCCAGACACTGAGATCCAGCTGTGAACAATTCGACACAAGCTCGTGCCCTTGTGGAGCTGGTGATCAAGTGGTGTGGCTTTGCTCTGATTAATGCCATTTACTTCCTGGCAGACATGGGGTTTGTTTCCAAATTGCCTGATTACAGATAGTGCTGCAGTGAACTTTCTTGTGCACGTCCTTTGTGCCCAAGCGCAGTGGAGTTACGGGCCCGAAGGGTATGTGCATTCTGTATTTTGATGTTGTTGTGTGCTGTGGAGTCGACTCCTGCTCACAGCAACCCTATCTGACGGAGTGGAACTGCCCCATAGGGTTTCCAAGGCTGGAATCTTTACGGGAGCAGATCACCAGGTCTAGTCTTCTATGGAGCTGTTGATGGGTTCAAGCTGCGAACTTTTTGGTTAGCTACTCAGTGCATTGTGCCACCAGGCCAAATTGTTTTCCAAAATGGCTGGATCATTATACACTCCCACCAAAACTGGTGGAAGATTATCTATTTTCCAAGCCCTGCACCAATACCAGATTCAACCAATCAAACAAAATGTTACCAACATGAACAAAATAATATATCGTATTGTTTATTATGCATTTTCCTGATTGTAGTCCGATGGAGCACCAGTTCATATATTTTTGACCATTTTTATTTTCTTCCTTGGTGAGTTGTCTGTTCATCTTCTTTCCTTGTTTTTTGATTGCGTTGCTTGTCTTTTTTTATGGGTTTATGAGACATCTTCATATGTTCTAGATCAAGAAAGGCAGGGTCTCTGGTGTCAGAATGCCTGGGCTGGAACCCTGCCTTTGCCACCTATTATCCATCACCTTGGGCAAGTCACCTGACTTCTCGGCACCTCAGTTTCCTCATCTGTTATGTGAGGATAATAATTAGTCCTACCTCCTAGAGTTACTATAAGGATTAGATGAGATGACCTGTGTGAAGTGCTCAGTAAGCACTGACCATTATTGTTGTAATTTAAGTGATTTAATCAGAAGGACCGACTATGACTGGACCTCTGGGGTAAGAGTCAAGAGGAATGCACACCTACCAAGGAATTCCTGTCACAATCCCAGCTGGCTTTCTTGCAGAAATGGACAAGGTGATCCTAAAATTCCTATAGAAATTCAAGGGACACAGAGTCACCAAAACGATCTGGAAAAAGAACAAAGTTTGAGAACTCATGCTTCCCAATTTCAGAACTTACTATAAAGCTACAAATAATCAAAATAGTGTGGTACTGGTGTAAGGATAGACATGTAGACCAGTGGAATGGGATTGAGAGTGGAGAAACAAACCCACACAACTATGGTCAATCAACTTTTGACAAGGATGCCACGTCCATTCAATGGAGAAAGAATAGTCTCTTCAACAAGTGGTACTGGGACAACTGAATTCCAACATGCAAAAGAATGAAATTGGTCCTACCTCACACATACACAAACTTAACCCAAAGTGGATCACAGACTCAGAACTATAAACCTCTTAGAAGAAAAGTTCCTTTTTTCCTCATCTCACATCCTTCAGATGTGAGAAACCTAGTCTCATTTAAGTTAGTGTTTCCACCGCCTTGATGCGTCATTTCTCTCTGATTGCTTTCAAGATAAGTTCTTTGTCTTTAGTTTTCAGAAGATGAATTGTGAGATGTTTTGGTGTGGATTTCTTTGGGCTTTTCATACTTCAGATTTGCTCAGCTCCTTGAGTCTGTGGGTTGATGTCTTTCACCAGATTGGGCACGTTTTCTGGTATTACTTGTTTGAACCCTTCCCCTGCGAGTCTCTGTCTTCTCTGCTTCTGGGACTCTGCTGATGCAGGTGTCAGCTCTCGTACTGTTTGTCTGCAGCCCCAAGAGACTGTCTGTATTTTTTTCAGCCTGTTTTTCAGCCTCGTTAAATGCAGCACATCTGACTTCAGGTTCATGAATTTTGTCGTTTTTCATCACCACACCACTATTGAGCCATGCCAGCACGTTTTTTAATTTTGTTATTTTATTTTTCGGTTTTATAATTACCTTTTGGTTCTTTTATATATTTGCTGTCTGTTTCTTGAGATTTTCTAATTTTTTTTTTTCATTTGTGTGAAGGGAATTTATAATTACTTGTCAAAGCCTTTTTATGATTTTTATTTTAAAATCCCTGTCAGAAAATTCCAACATCTGGTTGATCTCATTGTTGGCATCTCTTGATTGCTTTTTCTCATCTAATTGGTGAGTTTCATGGTTCCTGTCTAAGGAATGATTTTCTATTGTATGGCTGGGGGGGGCAGAGATGGAAAATCAGTCAACACTCAGCCTATTGACCTTCCCTGCATAGCAGTTGGGATGCCCCCCACTTCTGCTGGTTGGGGGATGGAGGATCAGCTCCTTGTTGGTTGGCTTTGCTGACACCGCCAGACGGAGAATCAGAGCATCACCCCTGTCTTGTGTAGGGCAAAGGTCAGCTCCTCACTCTGGCTCTGCTGAAAGTGGAGTTGAGGGGGCGGGTTTTGTCCATTGGCGTTTCCCTGGGGTAGGAAACAAGAAGGTTTTCTGTTCTGTCAGGTCATCCTTCCCCAGGGCCGTTGGAGAAACAGGTTTTTCTGGGAGCATTTTCATCTGTGCTTGTTGGCAGTTCTGAGTTGGCAGCTTTTGCCGTGCCCTGCCCAAGATATCTGGAAGGCAGTAGGAAACCAGGACAGTCACTGTTGTCGTTCCTCAAGTCCCATGGTGTCTCAGCAGTCTGCCTTCTTTCCACCCTTGAGAGTTTTCCTACACTTGTTCGGTGTGTTCTGTCTAGGTTTATCCGTTGTTACAGGGAGGACCTGGGAGGGGTGGGTAACATGGCTAGAACCACCAGCCCAGTCTTTTAATTTAAACATTCAGGACTCACCTGTGCTCTTGTGATCATAGGCGGCCCTGTAGGAGCCTCAAGGAGGAAGACAAGAGTCTTGAGGTCAATTTGTCTAAGCCATGAATTGGCTGCTGTATTTTGTTACTAAATGTGCTACCCTTGCTGTTCCCAGCCCCCCCTCCTTTTAGAGATGGGACCATGTCACCACCACTACAGCCAGGAGCCCAGGAACCACCCGAGCAAATCCTGCAGGTGATGTGGCTGCTCTGAGGACGGCGGTATAGGAGGACCCAGGGCTCCCTCCGGTCCAGTGCTCAGAGGGCTCAGTGAGCTACCCAGAATTGTAAGCCCTGTGTGTGCAAAGCCAGCCAAGCCCTCCACCTGAACGCAATCGTGTGCACCTGCCTGCTCACTGTCTTCTGTTTTTCCCATGAAAAGTCCTGCCTGGGAAAATTTCAGGGAGAAAACAAGGCGTTTGTCCTTCCTCCTCTTTCTGACCACTTTCCTTTCTGACCACTTTCCTTTCGGAAGGTGTGGTGATTTAGGTTTTATGAAGCTCATCCAGTCTTTCCTTTGGGCAGAGAGAGCTTTTGGGAATGACATTATTTTAAAGTGACATGTGTCAGTGAAACTTTGGAACTCAGTGCTTCTTTGTGACTCTTTCCTTTAGTGGCGTTCATCTTTCGCCAGATGTGTCATTTTACTGGTCAGACGTCTTCACTGATGTAAGGACTTGGCCTCAAGAGAGGGGGCTTCAGTCACTGCTCCCATCCTGCAGCTTGTTCCCAGTACCTGTGGACACTCTAGCACATTCCAAGTACCATTCCTAGCATCACTGTTTGCCTTATAGGCCTGTCTATCACTTGGCCGAAAGTTGAGCCACGGGAATTGAGTTCAGTTCCCAGCCTGGAAGTTGTCTCAAGGCCATCATCTCAGGGGGTTCCCCCATGCTCCAGCAGACCAGTAAGCCTGGTCTTTTCTGTGGTTTTGAGTCACATTCTCTTTCGACTGCAAGCGTATGGCTGGGAAGCATCCAATGACTACTAGGACCGTTTGATGCCACTGCTCATGTTCACTGCTTTTGCACCAGTATGAAAATGTCAACCCAGTGAAAGGGGCCAAATAACATCTAAGGTTAATTATGAAAATAGTTCTGGCCTCACAGACACATAGTGATCCATCAAGCACACTTGGAGAGCCTCTGTCCTAGAAAATGGCTCTTCATAATTGTGTGTCATCAGTAAGTTTTCATTCTAGGCAGTGATTCTTTTCAGTATTAAAGTGCAGTGAGCATGTGTTTGTGGGGCTGGAGAAGACAAGAAGGGCATTTTCAATGTCTTCCTTTGTATTAGTCTGTACGTGTACAATTTCACTTCTGTAGACAGTAATATAATGTAGTTAAGCCTTTGGGAGGGAAATTGGTAAAATCTGTCACAACGGACACTGTGCATCCTCTTTGAAAGGGGCTTCTATGAAACGAACACATCCGTCTGGGGAGGACTGACGTCCTTACTGTGGCGAGTCTTCCATGTGCACAGTATGTCTCTTCCTTTATTTAGGTCTTTTTTTATTCGTTTTCATTAGCACTGTGCAGTTTTTTAGCTTATAACTCCTGTATATATTTGATAAGTGTATATGAGCTCTCGTGGCATTGGGCCTAAGGCATTTCACTGCTACCCAGAAGGCTGGTGATTCAAACCCACCAGCTGCTCCCCAGAAAAAGGGAGGAGCTCTGCTGGTGTAGTGCCTAGGGCATTTGACTGCTAACCAGAAGGCTGGCAGTTCAAACCCACCAGCCACTTCTTGGAAGGAAGGTTGGGCGGTGTACTTCCATAGTGATATCGCTTTGGAAACCCAAGGAGGGGTCACTATGAGTCAGGTCCGACTCGATCGCAGTGAGTTTTTTTTTTTTCTAAGTATTTTATTTTTTGGAGTAATTGTACTCTCTTTGTTAGCAGCCAAGCACTTAAACTGTTATATCACCAGGCTCCAAATATGTTTTTAGTTTCATATTCCATATATTTATTGTTATTATATGTAATTTTTATACATTGATCTTGTATCCTGCAACCTTATTGAACTTAGTAATTTGTTCTAGAAGTTTTTTTTTGTGTATGTGTATAGACTCCTTGGAATTTTCTGTGCAGACAATCATATCATTTGCAAATAGGGACAGTTGTATTTCTTCCTTTCCCATCTTTATGCCTTTTATTTCTTTTTCTTGTCTTACTGCAGTGGCTAGAACTGACAGTACTGTGTTAAATAACAGTAGTAAGAGTGAATGCCCTTGTGCTATTTCTTGATCTTAGTGGGAAAGAATTCACTATTACACTGTTAAGTCTGGTGATAGCTGTAGATCTTTCCTAGATGCACTTTATCAAGTTAATGTAGTCCCCATTTGTTCCTAATTTGCTGAGAATTGTTTCATGTGTGTGTGTGTGTGTATGTATATATTTATGTGTTCGATTTTCCCACATCAATTGATATGATTATATGATTTGTATTGTCTAGCCTGCTGATACAGTGGGATACATTGATTGTTTTCCAAGTGTGGATTCAAACTTGCATAACTGGAATGAATCCCATTTTTTCATGGTGTATACCTCTTTTTATGCATTCCATTCCATTTGCCAACTATAACTGAGGATGTTGCATGTAAATTCATGAGAGATACAGGTTTGTGGTTTTCATTTTTATACTTTCTTTGTTTGTCTTTGTTTTCAGGTCATGTTGGCCTCATAAATGATTTGGAGAGTATTCCTTCCTCTTCCATTTTCTGGACGAGATTATATAAAATTGATGTTAATTCTTCTGAGTGTTTGGTATAATTCTCTAGTGAAATAATCAAGACTTGGACATTTCTTTTTTTATAAGCTTTTTACTTAAAAATTCAAATTCTTTAATGGTTATGGGAATATTCAGATAGTCTGTTTCATCTAGGTTAAATTTTGATAGTTTGTGGCTTTCAGGAAGTTTGTCCATTTCTTCTATGTTGTCAGATACATGTACATTGATAGAGAACTGCCTGAAATGCAAGCTGGATTCAGAAGAGGATGTGGAATGAGGAATATCATTACTGATGTCAGGTAGATCTTGGATGAAAGCAGAGAATACCAGCAAGATTTTACTTTTGTTTAATTGACTGCGCAAAGGCATTCACCTGTGTGGATCACAACAAATTATGGATAACATTGCAAAGAATGGAAATTCCAAAACACTTACCTGTGCTCATGAGGAACCTGTGCATAGACCAAGAGACAGTCATTGGAGTTACTGCATGGTCTAAAGGGTGTGTATCTTGTTCAATCTGTATGCTGAACAAATAATCCAAGAAGCTGGACTATATGAAGAAGAACGCAGCATCAGGATGTGAGGAAGGCTCATTAACAACCTGTGATATGTAGATGATGCCACCTTGCTTGCTGAAAGTGAAGAAGACTTAAAGCACTTACTGATGAAGATCAAAGACTACAGCCTTCAGTGTGGATTACACCGCCACATAAAGGAAATGAAAATCCTCACAACTGGGCCAATTAGCAGCATTACAATAATTGGAGAAAAGACTGAAGTTTTCAAAGATTTCATAAAACTTGGTTCCACAATCAACACCAATGGAATCAGGAGCCAAGAAATCAGATAAATGGAGAAAAGATTGAAAGTGTCAAAGATTTCATATTACTTGGTTCCACAATCAACACCAGTGGAAGCAACAGTCAAGACATCAGATGACATACTGCACTGGGCAAATCTGCTGCAAAAGACCTCTGAAGTGCTGAAGAGCAAAGATGTCTCTTTGAAGACTAAGGTGCACCTGACACAAGCCATGGTATTTTCAGTCACCTCATATGCATGTGAAAGCTGCACAATGAATAAGGAAAACCGAAGAGTTGATGCTTTTGAGTTGTGGTATTCGTGAAGAATACTGAAAGTACTGTGGACTGCCAGAAAAACTAACAAATCTGTCCTGAAAGAAATGCAGCCAGAATGCTCCTTGGAAGCGAGAATGGCCAGACTTCATCTCACTTACTTTGGTCATGTTTTCAGAAGGGACTATTCCCTGGAGAAGCATGTCATGCTTGGAAAAGTGGAGGGTGGACGAAGAAGGGGAAGACCCTCAACAAGATGGATCAACCCAGTGGCTGCAAAGAAGGGTTCAGACATAGCAAGGATTGTGAGGGTTGTATAGGACCAGGCAGTGTTTCGTTTTGTTGTACACAGGGTCACTGTGAATCGGAACTGACTTGACAGCACGTAACAACGTCAGATACATGAATGTAAAGTTGTTGATAGTATTCCCTTATTATTCTTACAATGACTGCAGGATCTGTAATGATATTCCTTGTTTCATTGCTCATATTGGTCACTTTCTGTCTTCTCTCTTTTTGTATTTGTTAGTAAAACAAAAGGTTGATCAGTTTTCTTGAATTTTTGAACAAGCAGTTTTTGGTTGCGTTCATTTTTGGTATTGCTTTCCTATTTTTGGCTTCATTGATTTCTCCTCTTACATTTATTATTGTCTCCGTCTGCTTTCCTTAGTTTTGCTTTGCTTTCTTTTTCTAGTTTTTTGAGCTAAACACTTGGATGGTTGAGATCTTTCCTCACCTTTAATGCTTTAGCGGCATCCCTCAGATTTTAATACTTTGTATTCTCATTTTCCTTTTCATGGATTTTTTTCATTTCTTTTGAGACTGTCACTTTGACCTGTGTTGGTTTTCTTTTTTCAGATGTGTATTGTTTAATTGCCAAGTGTTTAGAGATGTTTCTTCTTTTCCGTTTCTAGTTTGATTTCATTATGGTCTGCCAAAGGGGCAGGGAGGCTGCGTCTTCTGACCTCCTCTAACCCCACAAGAGGAAGACAGATCACCATCAGTAGCCCAAGGCCTCTTCCTGCGAAGCCAGACATGCTGCCTCCCTCCAGCCCTTTCACCAACCCTGACATCAACTGTTCCTCACGCAGCACCCACCACCTCTCTGCTGGGGTCGATAATTTGCTGTAGTGGCCACACAGAATTCACAGGTTATGGAGTTTATTAGGGAAGCAACAGGGTACAATTCAAGTTCAGAAACATACTCAGTCTGTCTCAGCCCGCCGTCTCTCAGCCAACAGTCTCTCTCCCAATAGTACTTGTCTCTCGGTGTCTCTCTCAGCAGTACATGTCTCTCGTGTCTCTCTCTCAGCAATGCATGTCTCTCACATCTCTCTCTCAGCAATGAGTGTCTCTTGCATCTCTCTCAGCTGCAGTGAGAGATTCCTTCTGCCTCCAGGAGGGCTCCTTTTGAGCCTGGCAGAGTGGCCAAACTAACCAATCTTAACATCAGAATTGTATACACCTGAGAGAGAGAGAACTTCCCAGAAGATTGTTTTGTGCCACTCTCAACAGAAATACCCCAAGTGGATAACTTTAGCAATCAGGAGCTACTTGGTTGCTCATGGCAAATTCCACCACAGAGTTTACAAAGACTTATGGCTAGAAAAGCCACACTATGTAACTTACTACACCGCATGGTCATAGGCCACTCTATAGAATTTCAGTACAGGTATGCATCGCTTAATGTCCGTGATGTGTTTTGTGAAATAGGACGTTCTGTGACTTGGACATTGTGTGAAGCCCTGTGTCTATGGGGTGCAGGGCTCCTGGGTGCACTGGCCCAGGGGCTGCTGTGTAGTCCGCAGCCCGGCCAGCTCCTGCTGTGGACGCCTCGGGTGAGTGCTATGCCACTTGCAGAGAGGGCGACCTCGTCTGTGAGAATCTGCTTGGGGAAGGAATAGTGTGGGCCGAGGAGTCTGAGGGCACCTGAGCCAGGGCTGAGGTGCCTGCCCAAGGGGCATACGTTTTCCATTGGCACCCTTCAGGACCATATCAGGCAATATGCAGGGACTAGGCCTGCCAAGTTGTGGGAGCTGACCCCTCAGGTTGGGAGTTTAGGCCTGGCCTCCATCACTGCAGACTAGGTAGCTTTTGGACTGTGTGCAGCAGCCAGGCAATGGTGGGGGTCCGACCTCAAGACAAGGGTCTGGCCTCTCGCACTGAGACACCTGGGTGCCCTTGCCCACGGACCTATATGCAGTTGGACGTTGCCCACATGGAAGTTAAGCAGCACATACCTGTACTTTGAAATTTGTCATGGTTTATTTTCTGGCCCATGCTGTGGTCTCAGTTGGTGAATGTTCCATTGGCATTTAGTTGTTGATAAGTTTATTCTGCTGTGCTGGGTGGAGTGTTCTATAAACAATCAGATCATGTTGTTTGATGATGTTGGTCAGTTCTTCTTTATCCTTGCTATTTTTTTTTTAAACTTTTTATTGTGATTTGGGTGAAATTTTACAAAACAGATTCATTTACATCCAACAGTTCACACACATTTTGTTTAGTGACACTGATTACAATCCCCATAGTGTAACAGCTCTCCTCCCACTTCTTCCCTGGGGTTACCCTTTTCCCTGTGTCTTTCTTGCCTATGCATTCCTGCCTCCCTAGCTCTCTTCTCGTATAAATGCTGCCCTTCTGATCTCCCATGGTTGACTGTCCCAAGGAGTGCATGGCCCTGATGTGGTTATTCAGCTCGTAGGCCTGTCTCTTGTTTGGTCAAGAGTTAAGCCATGGGATTGAGTCCAATTCCAGGCCCAAAGGGCAACCAGGGGCCATAGTCTCGGGAGTTTCACCAGTCTATATCCAACCAGTAATCCTGGTCATTTTTATGTTTTTGAGTTTTGTTCCACATTTGTTCTCCCACTCTATCCAGGATCTCCAGTTTTGATCCTTTGCCAAGTGGTTGGCATTGGTAGCTAGGCACCATCTTGTTCTGGTCTCAGGGTCATTTAGGCTGAGGTTCTCATGGTCTATTAGTCCTTTGGACTAACTGTTTCCATGCCTCTTTGATTTTCTTCACTCTTCTTTGCTCCGGACAAGGAGAGACCAGTAGCTGCATCTTAGATGGTTGCTTGCAAGCTTTTAAGACCCAAGTTGCTACTCATCAAAGAAGGATCTAGAACAATGTTTTTGTATACTGTATTGTGCCAATTGAGCTTGATGTCCCCTGTGACCATGGTCCTGAGCCCACAGTGACTCACTCCTTCCATGTACTTGGTTATGGCTTTGTCCTGTTAGCTTTGTAATGCGTATGGACATTTTCACAGCACGTGCAAATACATGTATAGGAATATCATCTGCCAAACCTCTGCGTGGTCATGGGTATACTTCTGTTTGACTACATCAACTGGGTGGTGGCAGAGAGAGCTTTTGCCCCTATTGGCAGGGAAGCTGTGCTTTTTGGAACAGAGAGTGTGGCTCACCAGTGGTGACTCACAGGCATGGGTTTGGCACCCCTCTGGACACACACAGCCATTTATCCAGTTCGTGCCTAGACTCCAGTGAAAGGCCACCCTGATACTGTCTTCTCCAACCGCCCCAACACAGGCCTTGCATTGGCAGAGGTGGGAGGTGGCTGGTGTGAATGGGCCACAGAGGTTTGCCTCTTGTGTTCAGTGTGACCAGGGTCTCTCCGTCTCTTAGGTCCCCAGTGGTGAGCTTCAGGCCCTGACTCTGTCTGCTAGAGGTGGAGGTGTCTGGGGATCGGGGAGGGTGAGGACGGGCTTCTCTAGTCCTTTGAGCGCTATCAGTTTATGTTTCATGTATTTTGAGGCCCTGTTGTTCACTGTAGGAGCCCTGGTGACACAGTGGTTCACTACTCGGCTTCTAACTGAAAGGTTGATGGTTCAAACCCACTAGCTGCTCCTCGGGGGAAAGATGTGGCAGTCTGCTCCTGTCAAGACTGACAACCTTGGCAACCCTGTGGGGCATTTCTTGGTCCCACAGAGTCACCGGGAGTTGGAATCAACTCGGCAGCAGTGGGTTGGGTTTTGCTTTGGTTCTTTGGTTCTCTGGTGCCATTTAGAGGTGTTACCTCTTCCTGGTGAGGTGCTCCTTTGATCACCCTATAATGTCCCCCCGTGTCTCTAATGGGGATTGTTGGGTTATATCTGACTGTGATCCCCCCGCCTCCTGCTTTGTGGTTTTTTAATGTGGTAAAAATATACACACTAAAACGTTCACCAACTCAGTGACATTGATGACACTTTTCATGTGGTGCCACCATCATTACTCTCATTTTCCTGAAGATTCTACCACCATTAACATAAACTCAGTGTCCTCCAAGCAAGAACTGCCCCTTCCACCCTCCTTCCACCCTTGGTAACCATCTTTGGTTTCTATGTATGTGCTTATTTCATAGAAGTGAGACCATGTGGTAGTTGTCCTTTTGCAATGGACTTACTCCACTAAGCATGACGTTTTCAAGGTTCTTTAGTGTTATGGCATTAGCACGTCATTTCTTTTTATGGCTGAAGAGCGTTCCATTGTATGCATGGAGCATACCTTGTTTATCCATTCATCTGTTAATGGAAACCTGGGTTGTTTCTAGCTTTCGGCTATTGTGGAAAGTGCTGCAACGAGCGCTGGTGGACAGGTTTCTGTTGGCGTTCCTGCGTCCGCATCTCCTGGGCCTGCACCTGGGATTGGGCTTGCTGGGGCACACGGTCATTCTGTGTTCAACTTTTTGAGGAACCTCCAAACTGTTCTCCACAAGGGCTGCACCCTTTTCATTCCCAGCAGCAATGCATGAGGATTCCGTTTTCTCCCCAGCCTCAGCAATGCATGTTGGTTTCTGTTTTTTGGATCATTTCCATTCCAAATGGGAGTGAGGTGGCATCTTGTCCTGGTTTGCATTTGTAGTGCCGTAACAGCTAATGAGGCGCCCTGGTGGCACAGTGGCTGCTAGCCGAAAGCTTGGCAGTTCAAACCCACCAGCTGCTCTGCAGGAGAAAGATGAGATGATCTGCTTCCATGGCACGGACAGCCTCGGCAGCCCAAGGCCCTTCTACCCGTCCTGTAGACTTGCTCGGCACGGGGACTGGCTTGCTTAGGGTTGATTTGTTTTAATGACATTGGCATCTTTTCATGTGCTCACTGTGACCTTTACACTCTCTTTGCAGAAGATTCAGAGGTGCATTTCTTTGATCCACAGACAACCCCGAGGACCTACCCAAGAAAGACAGGTAATGCATTGTGCGTGGCTATGGGGAGTGTGAAGACCACATTACTGTTGACTGCTTGCTGCCTCTGTCTAAAAGGGAGGAAGGGCAGGGGGAGCACAGTTAGTAACCAACCTCGCCCCCACTTCTGGCTCAGGGAAGTCGGCCTCAGCAGTGCAGTGCTCCTGTCTTGCAGAGGTCAGCTCGCTCCGTCTCCGTCTGTCTTCTCCCTGAACTTTTCTCTCTCTCTACTATCTCTCATAGTGGGCACGGTCACAACACAGTCTTGATGTTTAAGAAAATGAACGATTGGAGAACTCGTGCCAGCTGTGTACTTGCGATGAAGGAAGTCTGTATTTTAAAAGGATTTGATTGCACTCAAAGACCTAATATTTACAATAGTAACCACCCTTTTTTATAAAATGTTGTGTCGGGGGATGGGTATTCCCTGTAAACACTTGGCGTTTCTAGCATACTCTCTCTCATACTCTACTGGGAGCCGCAGGCAGTGTTCTCTACACTTACGGTACCAGGTTGATAATGGAGGAAACCGGGCTTGGAGCTCTCTGAGACCGTGCCCAAGGTCTGCAGCTCCCTGGTCATTGGGTCCTCTACCAGCAGACATGTCCTCAGGCCCCAGCTCCACACTTGCCAGCTCACATGCAGGATCACCTCTGCCTCACCACCCTGCGTCCTAAAGAATCTGTCTCATTGAACCCTTTAATATCTCTGTTATCCTACTCAAAGTGATGCTTTGGTGGCCCTACAAGAGCCTCGAGGCGCAAGACAGGAGCACTGCACTGCTGATGCCGACTTCCTTGAGCCAGAAGTGGGGGCGAGTTTGGTTACTAACTGTGCTCCCCCTGCCCTTCCTCCCTTTTAGACAGATGGGATCGTTTCACCACCACCACAACCAAGAGGCCTTCGACGACCCAAGTGCCAGTGAATCTTCCAGGTAACGCGGCTGCCTTGAGGAGGGCAGTAAGGAAGGACCTGAAGCTCCCGCTGAGGGCAGTGTCCAAATGAGCTGCGCACTTTAACCACTTGACTGTTTCCTTTATTTGTTGGGGCCACTGAAGGTGATTTTGACTTGGCTGATGCCTTGGATGATCGCAATGATCGAGATGATGGCCGTCGGAAGCCAAGTGCAGGAGCAGGAGGTAAGTCTACTGGTCAGAGCCACTAGCCCACACTGTAGCCCTGTGGCGAGGTTCTGTTTCCTTAGCACAACAGCCCACAGAACCACCCTTGAGCTGGCAGAGCTGGGGACAGTCAACACCCATGGAACCCAAAGACAAGGTTCTCAAACATTTGGCCTCAGGACTCCTTTATTGTCTTGAAAGTCACTGAGCATCCCAAGAGCTTTTGTTCACATGGGTCATAACTGATATTTATATTATTAGACCTTATGACAGAAAATCTTTAAATCTTTATTCATTAATTCATTTTAAGTAAACAGCAATAAATCCCTACATATAGACACAGGTGACATATTTTTATGAGAAGTAGGTATGTTTGGCAAGACAAGACAAAATGTGTTGAGAAGAGTGGCATTGTTGGGCACGGTTGCAAACTTCTGTGCTGTCTGTCTGCCTTAACGGAAGAGCTGGACTCTCACATCTACTTCTGCAGCCAGACACTGGGATATGTGGTGGTTGAAGTCGAGGACACAGTGTGGCCTCACACAGATAAGCAGTGGGATTTTCAGATCACTGTAGACATTCTTCTTGGCTGTGACACCAAAACGTGACAAGTGGCTGTTGCTTCCAGGTAAAGCGCAGAGTGTGGAACGTGAAACCGTGTCACTGACCTTTCCGTACTCGGTTCCATTGAACCCATTGGACTCTCTTGCTCTTTGAATGGACCTTGTAGCATCTTGCATTGGACATGTGGACAACATTGGTGGCCTGAGCTGTGTTGAGCTTCCAAATGGTGCCACCTTTCATTATACAGTACCCAGAAGTCACAACATTTTTTCCTGTTTTTCATTTATTTTGTTGTTGCTGTTGCGAATATACAGAGCAAAATGTACACCAATTCGGCAGTTTCTCCATGTACAATTCAGTGACAGCGACTACAGTCTTCAAGTCGTGCAGCCACTCTCACCCTCGTTATCTGGGCTTTGAACTGGTTCCATCTGGTTCAGTCATAGCTAATGGAATGAAATTGGCACAGACTCAAATTTTAAAAATTTGGGCAAGGCAGAGTGGTAACCGGAATGGGAAGAATTACAGGTTAGAACCCTAGAATGGGAGAGTCTGAAGAGGTGTATTGAGCCCTTTCAGGAGCCTGATGCAGGAGATTGGATCATTGCAAACACTGTGGCAAGTGACACACATTCAAAGTGGTGCAGCTGCCAACTTTGAGCAGGGTATTGTTGTTTCTGATTCTGCTGGTCAAGAGATTTGGTTACTGTGCAATGTGCACAGTGCCCTTGTTTTCTAAGAGGTAGATTAAGTTTCTGGCAGGGCGTTGACCTGTAATTTTTCCTTTTCTGGTTACCATACTGGTTCACCCACATTTTACAAATTAGAGTCTGTTTTGGCTTCACTTGGTCGGCCATGACTGAACTAGGAAGAGCTCGTTCCAAGCCTGGACATAAACTTACTGCCCCCTAAAGTTCTCATCTCTCTTTTGAGTTGCTCTCGTCTCTTTGATCTCCAATAAACAGATCTTGAAACAGCACAGTGCTCAAGGCAGACAGTGGTTACTAGTTAAGCTGTAGTTTGGTTTTAAGACTTTGGGGATATTTTTGGTTTAAGATTTAAAAATTAGCTCAGGGCAGTAGTTTCTGGGGTTCATCCAGTCATCTGGCCTCCAGAAAGTCTAGAGTGCATGAAAATTTGAAATTCTGTTCTGCATTTTCTCCCCTTTGATCAGGATTTGTCTGTAGAATGAATCCTTGATCAAAATGTTCGGTAATGGTAGCCAGGAACCATCCAGTTCTGGTTTCCACAAGTCACATTTGTTAATATCATCACCAATCTCCTGGGGAAAGTCTTGGGAAGTCTCCTTGGGAAGTATTGAGAAGATCATGGTGCAAGATACACATTTTTCAAAATTCATTTTTTTTTTAATTGCCTCAAGAGCTCAAATTTTTATCACTGGCAATAAATACCATCAGTCGTTTTTGTTCAAGTAATAGGCTCACTTCATTCATTTTTAAGAGAAAGTTGGCCATATATTCAGATCAGCATAACCATTGTTTAGCTGTCATTCAATCCTTTTAGTAAAAATGGTCTTCCATGAGCAATCCCAACCTGCTGCCATAGAATCATTTCTGACTCATGTTAACCCGTGCGTCACAGAGGAGAACTGCTCCATAGGGTTTGTTTGTAAAGAAATTGTCCATGGGTTTTTGTACCTGTAATGTTTATGGAAACAGATCACCAGGCCTTTCTTCTGTGGCGCCACAGTGTGAGTTTGGACCACCAACCTTTAGTTGTTGTTGTTGTTGTTATGTGCCTTTGAGTCAGACCTGACTCATAGCGACCCCTCCTTGGCTTTCCGAGGCAGTGTCACTACGGAAGTAGATTGCCCAGCCTTCCTTCCCACCAGCCTTCTGGTTAGCAGTCAAGTGCCTTAGGCACTGTGCTACCAGAGCATTTTATCATTTGTGCCACCAGGGGAAGTAGCTGATATGGCTCAGAACAGAAATAATCACACAATGGCACAAATGGGCAACAGAAGCACTTAAGTATACTGTCCATTTCATCAAGGAGCCCTGGTGGTGCTGTGGTTAAAGCACTCAGCTACATTAACCAGCAGGTCAGCCGTGCAAACCTCCCAGCCACTCTGTGGGAGGAAGATGTGGCAGTCTGCTTCCATAAAGATTGACAGCCTTGGAAACCTGACAGGCAGTTCTTCTCTGTCCTGCAGGGTCGCCGTGACTTGGAATGGACTCAATGGCAGTGGGTTTAACAGAATGTTTAAGGATTGCACCCTAGGGTGAATCTATAATAAAATGACCCAATTTTTCTGCCTTCTGTATAAGTCTTCTATTGCTGCATCAAGATGGCCACACACTCAGCAGGTTAAGAAAAACCCAGTTACTGTCTCACGACTTTTGCTACTCAGGAGCTCAGGAAGAGCTCAGCTGGGTGCCCTGGCCTCCTGGGCTGCAGTCACGGTGTTGGCCAGGACTGGGGTCTCATCTGAGCTTTGGGCTTCTCTTCTTAGCTCGCGTGGTTCTTAGGGAGAGTCCATGCCCTTGCAGCTGCAGAACTCTTGAGTTCTTGCCTCTTGGAGACAACAGGAGGGAGGGGCGGGAGGGGAAGAGAAGAGAGGACCTCGGCTGCTGAGTGATCCCCGGGAGCCAGAAGCCCCTTTGAAAGCCCTCACCTGTTAGCTCAGACCCTTCTGTGACAACCTCTCTTGTGATGAACTCAAAGTCATTCTCTGGAATGTAGTGGACAGGGCTTCTAATGGGTTCATTCCAGTTTGAGCCCTGCTGAGAATTTGCATTTCCTCCCCAAATACACTGAATCAGACTCCATTTTAACAAGATCCCCAGGTGAATCTTACAGAGCTGGAGATTTTGTCATAATGTAGATTCTGATTTAGTGTATCTGCGGTGGAAATGCAAGTTCTAGCAGGGGGGCAAGCCGGATCAAAGCCCTGCTAGTGTAACCTAACATCCTCATGGCCCACTCACGGTCAGGGTGATGGGATTACAGAGTGCATGGGCGCTGGTGGGCAGGAATCTCGGGGCCCTCGGAATCCCGCCCACCACAGTTGTCTAGGACTTTCTGAGGTGAAAGTGACGGCCATTTTCTGTGGGTGCTGAGCAACGTAACAGAAGTGTCTTGTTTCCGTAGTTTTCCCTGGTTTTGGTCATTGAAATGCATACTTTATTTTCTCCAGGTATTTCAGACAAGGATCTTGAAGACATACTAGCGGGTGGTGACTACAAACCTGACAGGAATAAAGGTAGGAACATTGCTTCCTCCAAACAAATGCCTCATCTTCGTTGGAAAGGGGAGTCCACTGGCACCAGGTTAATTACGCCTGTTGTGAGGACCAGAGAGAGTCATTGGGAAGAGGATCCTCCCAACCAGAGGAGCCTGTCACTCTCTCTGGTCCTCAGGAACCATAACGGGTGCTGCCTCAGCAAACGCTGGTGTGGAGCCATTAGCCGAGGCAGCACCTTGGCACAAGGCACAACAGGCGAATTGTGGCTACAGACAGCTCTTACTTGCCCTTCACTGTTATGTTTGCCCTCACTTTGAAAGGATTGAACCAACCCCAGCTTGCAACAAATTCTTCATCACACTGCACTTTCCAGCTGCACGCTCAGGCCGAGCGAAGGGACCGCATTTCAGCGGATGATCTTCAGCCTGAGAGGAATCCCCCGAATGTATTTTCCAGCTTGTAGGAGCCCCCTTCCTTGTCTGCAGGTGCCAGTGATGGTCTCTCATCAACAGGTCCCAGTACCTTTCCCTTGCTGTACATGCAGCTTTTAGATCATTGGAAAGGCATCAAGCCTTTTCTTACACTAACGAAACCAAAAACCAAATCCACTGCCGCCAAGTTGATTCTGAGTCATAATGACCCTATAGGATAGGACTGAATGGCCCCCAGAGGGTTTCCAAGGCTATATAAATCTTTATGGAAGCAGGCTGCCTCATCTTTCTCCCACAGAGTGGCTGGTGGGTTGGAACCACTGACCTTTTGGTTGGCAGCTGAGTGTTTTAACCACTGCACCACCAGGGCTCTTTCTTTCACTAAAACCAAAAGCCTGCCATTGAGTCGAATCTGACTGAGAGCAACCTCTGTAGGATTTCCAAGGCTGTAAATCTTTAGAGAAGTAGATTGCCTCATCTTCCTCCCACAGAGCAGCTGGTGGGCTTGAACCACTGACCTTCTGGTTAGCAGCCAAATGCCTTACCCAGCATGTCACCAGAGTTCCTTTCTTTCACTAAAGTAAGGTTAAGTAAGAACTGTATGGACCTGTTCCAACTTACCTGCAGGTTCCTAAAGATGAAGTTAGGAATGGACCTCATCTGTACCCTGTAGCTTAACATTCGTAAGAGGTTGTCAAAATTGTTCAGAAGGGCTCCTGGGTACCCTTTACCCAGCTTCCTCTGATGAGACCATCTTTTTTTTTTCTTAAATACATTTTATTGAAATATAATTTATGTCAAATGAAATACACTGATGAGACCATCTTATGTGACCCTACTCAATTGTGCAAACCAGGAAGTTGTCAGCTGGTCCAATACTGTTAAGTCAGAAGCAAACCTTAGATTTCTTCAGATTCAACACGTACTCTACACACACATGTATGTGCGCACGCGTGTGTGTGTAGGTCTGTGGAATTTTATCACTTGTACATTTGAGTTCCACAGTCAGGATACCGAACTGCTCCAGCTCCACGAGAAAACTCCCTCAGGCCGCTCCTCCACATCCACCCCCAAGGTCAGAGAGCTTTCGCTCCCAGTACAAATGCAGAAGACTGAGGATGTCAACCTTCCATTGTCATGCGCATCAGTATACAAGGGAGGGAACGTGGGGCTGATTTCTTGATATGATTGTAATGTGATTGTAACTGGCTGGGGTTGTAGCTTGTGGCTTTTATGACTTGTGGCTGTGACTTGCTACAGTTGTAACCACTGTGAGTGTCACAAGATGAGCAGAGCAAGTTGTAACCCCGACCCACTCCCAACGTTTCTGGCCTTTCCTTCAGTAGCAGTGTTCGCCTCTGACTCGGGGATGCTCAAATCCAATTTCTCTCTGCAAACACCTTTGCAGGTAGTGTCATCTAGAGCAAAAACCTCTAAAAGCTTCTAACGGAAACTCACAGGCGTCAGGAGAACATGTAACATTTAAAGGCCAATTACTCCTGGGTGACAGGTGGTATTTCCAGATGCCAGTTGAGGGCAGTAGTCGTGCGCATAAGCATGCGCACAATGAAAGCCAGAATGACACGTCGGCTCAGCCTTATTAAAGGTTCATGTTGTAGCAAGGAAGGGGTACGGGGAAACTCTCTAATTAGGCTCATGTCTGAACTCGTCTTGTAAAGAATAATCAGTTGTTCACTTGGGTTATACCCTCTGTCATTATAGGTGTCAGTAGTAGAAGATACAGGGGGTCCTGGCCGAAAATCCCAGTGTGAGACTAAAATTCAGTCATGAGGCGGCCCTACGGAATGCAGACACTGTGCTTTCCAGCCGCGCGCTCAGGCCGTGAGGGGACCGCGTTTCAGCGGATGGTCTTCAGCCTGAAAGGAATCCCCCGAATGTATTTTCCAGCCTTGTAGGAGCCCCCTTCCTTGTCTGTAGGTGACAGTGATGGTCTCTCATCAACAGGTCCCGGTACCTTTCCCTAAGAGTGTGGTCCGTAACCCCCCACCCTCACCCTCACCCTCTTCCTTCCCCTCTACCATGTGTCCCATCATCACTTGCACTGAGAAACTAGAGGCCAAGATGTTTCAACTCCTCTTGTTCTCCCCCTGGTATCTGCACCCTAGAGTAGGCAAGCTCTACTCCCCCTCATCCCAAATTGTTCTGTGGCGCCCTGACACCTCTCTTCACGTCTGGTGCAGTCCTCTCGCACGTCTGACGCTGGTGATCACCTTTCCTCGTGGGCCTGCCCTGTTCCCTCCCCCTTTCTCTGCCTCATTCGCTGCTTCCTCCTAAACACAGTCGCCTCCTGGGTCTGTGCCCAACTCAGCATGCCGCTCCGCCCACTCCCCATCAGCCGGCGCCTGGGTGAGCAGTGACTTGCCCACAGGACGGGCTCACTTTGGTGGGTGGGGGGTCAAATATTCCGTTGAGGTTTTAGGAATGTGCTTCCTTATCATCGCAGACGGCCAGGAATCCCTAGAGATGCGACACGCTGAGCCTTTGAATCTGGATGACAACCTGGGAGGGTGTGGAGGAGAAGCAAAGAGGCAGGCCCTGTGTCTATTTCCCATAATGCCCTCGGTGGCACAGACCACCGTAATGGCCTCGGTGGCACAGACCACCGTAATGGCCTCGGTGGCACAGACTATGATGTTCAAGTTGCTGTGAGCTCTTGAAGCCAAGTGCTCGTTCAGGAAAAGCTAGCTTTACTCCACCTGGAGGTGAAAGAAAGAACAGAGCCCAGAATCTGGAAATGTGGTGACGTGAACACATCAGCAGTGGCCACCTTTGTGAGCTGTCCCCCTCGACAGTGGGGACCCTGAACCCTCACAGGTGACATGGTGCCTCGCATCCTCCTTTCTGATCTGCACTCTCCAACAACAGTGATTGTGTTTTTAAAAACACTGGTACTCCTAGTTCTGCACATAGCCATCCATGTCCAACCAGGGCCTTTAGAAAATGCGTGTAACTCAAGATGCAGCCCCCGGCTGGGACAGAACCCTCCTCATTTTCTTACCTCGGGCTCTGATTGGTTCAGGGAATGTCAGCGCTCGGGGGGGGGGGGGTTTGCGACATCCCAGGGCAATTTCCTCAGAAGCCCAGGCCCTCCCACCACGGCACCCATCGCTTGTCTTGTCGGAGACAAGACCAGCTCAGATCCCTCCCCCATGCACCCAGCTTCCTTCTAGAGAACTCGTGTTGACGTGTGTCATTATTGGCGTGACACTGTCATTTATTGTCCCACCTCAGTTGGACCTGGTGTCTCTGAACTGGTGCCAGGTCCCAGACAAGGCGGCGTGCCGTGGGGTGACGCGATTCGGCGGGCCCCGCAGCCTCCTGGCGCGGCGAGGGAGGCACACAGCCCCCAGGGCGGCCCAGCGAGCCCAGTTAGGACTGGTGCAGTAGGACCCTCGGGCTTTGTGTAGCTTAGAATTCAGAATGTTTCGGGCTTTCGAAAGGGAAGGTGATGCTTACGCCTAGTGGTTACATAGCACCCCAGTGGGGCAGGGGATCCTGTAAGCAACCACATCACTGTAGCTGCAGGGGAAGGCAGAACTCGCACCACGTGGCAGAACTGAAGACCACAGACAGCTTTGCTGCTTCCAGGCGGGGTTTGCTGGGAGACGAGCTGCACACAAAGGGTGGTTTTCCGAGCTTTTAAAACCATTCTTTTCAACATATTTTGAGATCACAGCAGCACCATATGCAATTGCAGGGAATAATACAGAGGGGCCCTGTCACCCGTCACTCCGTCTCCCCCACGGTGCATGACTCTCCTCCACCATCACAACCAGGACGTTGACGTGCAGATGGTCCACTGACTTCGTTCACATTTCCCCAGCTCTACATGCATTGGTGTGTGTGTGGTGTGTGTGTTTCCACCAAATCTTATCACATGTGTAGGCTGGTGTTGCGGTCATCTAGTGCTACTGTGATAGAGACACCATACGTGGCAAACAGGGATTTATTCTGTTACAGTCCGGGAGGCCCGAAGCGCGAGTTCAAAGTGCCAGCCCTGGGGGCTTCAGCTCTGCCTCTTGCTCCCAGCCCACCGGAACTGGAGGTGTCTCTCCACACAGGTAGTTGCCGGCTGCCGAGGCTGACAAACCCGAAGTCGACAAGTAAAAAGGCACAGTCCTCAAATTATCAAACCACGTGGCAGGCTGATTCAAGTCCATTAACAGATTAACTGATTCAAGGCCATTAACAGTCCCAAGATCGGCAGCTGGCAAACCGCTGAACAACGACTCGGCTCCATGCAGGACCCAGGTGTACC